AATTCTTTAATGTTTCGTGCATAGGTGAAGTCGATGAGTGCCAACGCGAAGCAACCACTTCCGATACCACAAATGCGACAACTTTTTATCCACCGATGAAGTCAAAACACAGTGAGTAACGATTCCAGATAGCAAACACCAATCAGCTCACTCGATTAGCCCATTCTCTATTGAAATAGCAAACTATTGCAATAAGCGAACTGTTTGGTGTCACTTGAAACACTGAATCTCTGACACCCTCAAGTCAAACCCAAGTGCTGCGGCGACGTGTGCTAATGCGCAGGCCGAAGAGTACACGTGGTTAAACTGACACATGCAAATACGCCATTTCACGAAATTGTTGCACATGTCGCTTGAGTAGACACCTCTGCACTCAGCGTGGTCACTTTGTCACTTCCCCTTCCACTTTGGCAAAGCAGCCTTCCTCGCTACTGCGGTCAACCGCCACACAGCACCCACGATCACACTATGAACTGGCACAGTGCAAGCCATGCTGCCCACCCCATTGGTGGCAGTCAATGCAGTAGTCGCGTTTTGGCACCTACAAACACCACCTTCTCCGTTAAGTGATTAGAGTTGGGAGGAATTGATTTGGTGGATGTGCCAAACACTGGTTGACAGTATGCAGCGACGAGGTTCCATGTGTCAGTAGCATGTGCTAGGGGATTTGCGTAAGGACAGCACTGAGAGAGTGAGCTGCTGTGATGAAGTTGCGTGAGGTAAACCACTACGCTTAGAAGCATGTAGTGATCACTTTCTTGGCACTCCTAACTACTCCATGAAACCTCACCCAACTCCGTCATTTGTCATTCTGCTTGGAGTTGACACTTGCTAGGAGCACACACTGCCTCAGCTATTCTGCAGTGAGCCTTCACTGACCCAATCTTTCACAGCAGATGCACTCACTCCATGACACTTCCATCTGCTAGTCAGCTGTCGAAATCAGAATTATTTGCTACCTTCACCAAAAGAGTGCCCCAACACTTGCCTGACACGAGTAGGCTGCTTGTGTGGTGGGAGGGCGAGGTCACCATGATCCAAGTCTGCAGTGCAGGCTGTCAATAATGCAGGGTTTGTACACACAGACCCACCTTGATGGGCTTGTAGGAGTTCTAAGTAAATAGCCTAGTCAATTTGTTAAACAGTTGATCCATTTTGACACTAGTGATGTTCTGGCAAACGGCTATTGCGAGTTTTGTACGTTTTGACGCAGATGGGGATTTGCATCCAGGAAATGCGCCAGCAGTACCACCGAGGCCAACGCGCAGTAAGTGAACGCTTTGCTAGTTGCAAGAGGATGCACAAAACTTGGCATATTTCTTTCACAAATTATCCCACCCATTCACGTGTTTCCCGATTACTACGACAACTGCTTGCGTGGTAAGACGGAAGGATTGCCCACCTCTGATGCAGCAGTATGGACTCACTGACACAATGGGCAGTCTGCATTGAGATTTGCCCATTTGAAACAAAATCCGTTCACACGTTGCTTTGTGAAGCAATGGTCCTCAAATGACTTCTTGCCTAATTTCTCTTCATTTTGTAAGAACCCCTCACAATTAAGATATTGCCACCTCTCTCACACCACCACCTTAATGCTTGCATGATATGCTCTTGGTGAATGTGTTGCAACGGAATGTCACTTATTTGCAGGTGAATGTGCAGACGTCAAAGAACCAACTCGGATGGGGGACATTGCGGAACCACGTGAGTGAACGTTTTGGGACGCGCAAATATTCTCGGAAAGAAGATAATCCGTGGCAAACAAATGAACCGCACAATCGGATAGTGTTTGACGAGACATGCAACCGGGTTTAGTCCCATCAAAGCTCTTGCTATGGTTAGGGTCAGTGTTGGGGTCAGGACTGCTTAAACATCTACTACAAATTGCGATGCTACGAAGTAGAGAGTGAGAAGCATGTGGGCTAGTGGTGTATATTGAGGAAGAATTGTTTAGACAGGACGTTGCACTACATGGCGCATATGCCGTCTGCCAATTGCTTTTCGGTGCAACATGCACCCTAATCCATCCCTCATATTTAGTAGTTTCTTACAGAGCCGTCCTAACGCCACTTCCACCGAGCATGGCTCATGCCGTCCGATCATCCCCTAGTATACTGTGCTGCCTTCAGTTGATTCATTGCCTGCATGTGCGCCTACATCGAAGGCACTTCTTCCATGCAGGATTTGCAATCTTGTCCACATGCAAATGCACCCATCATCACTTGCGCTTCAACTCCAACACGGAGACAGAAGTTGTGACCGCAGCATTTGCCATCCAGTTGATCCGATCACACCACTCCTTCTGTTGCTACCCTTGTTGGTCCACCTCCATCCAACAACCACCACCAGCACTAACATCAACCACACAAAATGCATTCATCCGTCCGTCCATCCATCCATCCATTCATCCGTTCCTTCATTAAATGGTCTTATTGTGTGGCATGCTGTCAGCTCATTCGGGCATAAGTCTTTGATAATGCATGGATGAAAGCTGAGCGAACTCGGCACATCGCTACGAATGCCAGCATTGCCATCTGTTAAGCTGGTTTTAGGCATGCACTGCATGTAAGCACTTTCAATGTATACCAGTTCCAGGTGCTCATAGGAGTTTTGATGGATTGCCTGTGCTGCGTCCCATTCGCTAATCTCATCTTAATTCACCATGATATGCCACGTTACGCAACGCTACCTCATATAATTCTGCATTCTGTTCTGCCTCCAGATGCACTCAATGGAGATCCACCAGCATCGTGCATATCGGATAAGGCTGATGCGACAACAATTTCATCACTGAAATATTCGAAGCCAAGTGAGTGCCTATTTCGAAAAGCTAAGCGAAACATCTCATTGCATGAGCAGCATCTCTATCGTGGTAGCAAATTACTCGATCAAGTTAGCAAATCCATCTCCTCTGAATCTTCAAACACCCGAAACATGGAGGCCCTGAAATTACGCAGCTTAGCAGCATCATGAAACACTGCTACCTCCTGTGCCACCAAATTAGTGCTTGCATGATATGCTCATGGCAATAATATGTGTTTTACAGAAAAATGCCTCTTCTTTGCAGGTGAATACGTTGACGTCGATGAAGTGCGTAGGACAGTGGGCTTCGAAAGACCACGTGAGTAAATGTTTAGCGGTTCACAGGAATTAACATAAAGATGACAATTTCCTGCAAACTTGTCAAACCAGCGATTGGAACGTGTGTGCCTTTGATGAGAGTTGCATCTGGCGTTATTGCGATTAAGGGTGAGTTATGGTTGGGGTCAGGGTTCGTAAAATGCACTGCAAAGTAAGAGAGACGTGGTAGTGGGTGAGAAGCAGACGAAGCAATGGTAAATACTTAAAAAGACCTGCTTTAAGTAGACGATGATCTGTGGAGGGAACATTGTGTTTATCACATGCGTTATGGTGGAATATATGCGCAAACACGATCGTAGATACGAAGTGGTATCTTGGAGGTTCGTCATATCCAGAATCGCCCCATCCCTGATAATCGTTAGAGCAGGTTTTGGAAGATTGTGACGGTTGGATTGATTAATCAGCCAACACATTCTAAACTAGTTATCATTCGCCTTAGGGTCACGGTACCTCTATCACCACCACAGCAACTCGGCACCTGACCGAATCGAAAAGGCTATTTGCGTGGCTGGAAGGCCATGTCGCATCTCAGCCGAGTATCCAATCGGATATACATCGCTTCGCTGCATTTTTGTGCCTTATAGGAAACACACTTTATTTCACTTATTATCCTTTGTGTTTTTCACGATCAAATCCCAATGGCTGTTCATCTCAACGCAGAGGAATACCTGTTACCACTGAGTGCTTCCGAAATACCGCCAAGGTCAACAAGTGGTAAGTGAATTGGTCCGCAAACAGTCGGCCCTGTAATTATGAAGCATAGCAACACCGTAGAATTGCGGAGACACCGCGTACCATATAGTGGGTGCACATTAGTGAGTTCATGTAATGAAATGAACATCTAAATATGCTTCACTTGATGATACAGTTTACGTCACGCAGGTCTCTTGCGTCTCCATCCTTGCATTCCACTTGTCCGACTCGCCACTTTCACTTTGGCGAAGTAGCCTTTCCTGGAAGAGCCATCAGCTGTAAGACAGATGCCACGGTTACACTAGGAAGTGGTAGAGTGGAAGACATGCTACTCTCCTCATTGGTAGTTGTCAATGGAGTAGATTCGTTTTGCCACTTCCAAATGTCATCTCGTCTGTAGGATCACACTATCTGCGAGGGCTTGCTTCGATGACTACGCTATGCACCAGAGGGTGATGATGTACGGAGAGCATATTTAACACGCTAGTGGTTTGTTACGGGGCAACACTTGGAGATACAGTCTGTCAAGAATGAAGGACGAGAACAGTCAAATATGCGTTTAAACAAATATCACCTCATTATGCCATTATATTTTCAGCTGCAATCTCTCTAACTTGCTCTTTGATTAACAAACTGCATTTGTAAGTAACCAGGTTTGTTGGCATTTGCTCTAGTGACTGCTTGCTTGGTCTTCTATGCATCGGAAGTTGACCTGCCGAGAAGTCGTTCAAATCTTTTTCCTTTGGCAATAGATGAGGATTCGAGATCAAAGTATGCACAGGCAACACTGCTAGCACCATCAAACCATAAGTGCATGCTCAATGAATCATAGGTGACATGCCATTCCATTTGCCTTATCTTCACACACAAACAGTTCTTTTGATATTGGCCGAAATCCGACCATTAAATGCATGCATTGTGTGCTCAACGATCATTCGTTTAGGAGCAACTATTTTTGCACAAATTCCTCCTCACTCCAACACTGGCTGCACAACTATGCACAAATGAAGGAGTGATGCACTGCGCTTCCATGTTGAGGACAGCCACAAATGTGTTTTCTTATGTCACCCAAACACAAGCACTGCTAACGATTCTAAGTGGAATTGTCACACCTGCATTTAGGCGAGAAGCAATTCAACGGAAACACTCCCAAGCACGAGGCGATGGTAAAGGAGTCCACAGAAGGCGTCTCCAAAGACGCACCTGGGACACATTCAAGTGACTCAACTCAAGCAAAATCTAACTGGAAGAAGGTCACTACTCTCCTGGTCTCAGCCTCTCGTTTTATGGGAGGTGTGAAGAAAGGTGAATAAGTTGGCTCACAAGCCATTTACTCATCGCAGTCCACAAA